AACAAAAAAACCCCAAAAACCACCGGACTGCCGTCTCGCCACCCCACCATCTCCACTGCCACCCCAACCACCATTTCTACCCAACACACATTCACTGTTAATAAAAAAACATCAAAGTACCAACACCTTACCCTCACCCTCACCGCCACCGCCACCAACAACCGCCGCCGTAGTCGTCCAAAAAATACCAACAAAACAGATCCACAAATGCCATCACCACAACGCCATCACTAGTACTAGATCGTCGATGGTTCTGTGCGGTCACGCTCAGATTAGATCCAAAATCAAAACGCCGCCGCAGCCACAAAAATGGTTATGTGCGATTTCCTCATCAAAAACCACAAAAATCCCACTCAACGCCCCTCTCAGATCAGGAACTAGAACACCGCTCATCACGAAGCAATCAGCTGCCACCGCGAAGCACGAAGCAACCAGAGGCTACCGCGAAGCACAAAGCAACTAATCTCCACTTGTAGTTACCGCGCCGGCGAGAAAATAGAGAGAGATGCAGGGAGTTTGATGGGAACGCAGTGCATCGTCGTAATAGTTAGAGGCGGATGAGTTAGAGAGACCGATTAGAGAGAGGGAGATGGAGATGGAGAGGAGAAGACAGACTCACTGGAGGAAAGAGAGGTGATTAGGGATTGAGATGAAATTAGGGTTAGGGATGATTAATATTTAATATATAAAAATAAATATTTGATTTTTGAAAACTTAAACCTCGTATCTGATTTTAGAATATTGATTTTCAAAGGTAGGGTTCTGTGTAATTTGCCCTTATCCCTTTTGTAAAGCCCGGTCAGATGCCATAATACAACGTTCTGGAAGCGGGCCCGAGGCCCCTCCACACCACAGCTTGTAAATCCCGCGTCAACCGAAGTTGGTTATAAGAATACAATTTACAGAAGCTTCCAATCCCAAGCAAGCAATTATCGCATGCGATTCTCCCCACGCTCTATAAACATCTGACGGCTCACAAATGACAATAGATTTAGCATAGCCACGCGATTTTTCTTTAATTTTTCTACAAAAGATATGGTTCGCACGCCACATTATAACTCCATGGTGATCTCCGCAGCAGATGAAAATTTATATAATATACACAAAAAACACAACTGAGTTGTCAAAGACAGACAAGGCGGAGAGATATACAACTAATTTCTTGTACATGTAACCTTCAACTTCCATCCTTTTACCTTGTACATTACTTTATCAACGCCACTTAAGAAAGAGAAATCTGAGAAAAATATGACGATTCCCGATGAGCCCACGTCGAAAACGGTGGCAGAATCGTCGCAGTCGGCGGCAACTCCGGCGAACGGAGATTTGGAGAATCAGACGCTGGGAAGGGGTACCGGAGTTTCGAACATCGTACGACGGTGGAAGAGAGAGGATCTTCTCAAGAGAGGGTCCTTGGGTTTGCGAGGCTTCGGTTTGCTTTTTTCATTGCTGGCTTTCATTATAATGGCTAGTAATAAGCATGGGGATTGGAAGGAATTTGATAAATATGAGGAATACAGGTACCATAATGTTTATTTATTCTGTTGTACAGTATAATTCGATTTTCTTGGGTGAGCATTAATCAAGATTCGAGATTTTTATTTGGTGTTTTCTTGAATGTGGTTCTCATTACAGGTATGTATTGGCAATAGCAATTCTGTCATCTTTGTACACTGGATTACAGATTTTGAGGCAGGTTCAAGAACTCTCCACCGGTCGAGAAATGATTTCACCGAAGAATATGTTGGTTGTGGACTTTTTTGGGGATCAGGTAGGTGGATTTTATGATTAATTTGATGAATTTCTTGGATTTTCCTGCAATTATGTTTAGATTTTTCAAATTATAAACCATAATGAGGGAATCGATATAAACTATTTTGTGATTGAGCTAAGAAATCTTGATGAAAAGGAAAGGAATCTTTTGCCAAAATTTACTCCCTACAAATTCATGAAACTTTGTGTTAGATTTTAAACATAATTAGGGATTACAAAAATCTTAAAAGTAGAAAATTTGATCATTATATGGTTTCATCCAATGCAGATTTTGAGCAACTTAGACTTCCTAAGTCATTATCATACTGTTGTTCTTTGTGACTGGTTAGGATTTATTGGTGGGCAAGTTTCGACAACAAGTGATTTGTAGGCCCATCCCTGTCTGAAATTTCGTTGTTTGCAACTTTAACCTCCATTTTACACAAGCCTTTTCAGGCAAAACATCTAGAATCATAAAACAAGATAAAATCAAAATATGTCAATGCTGATTTGGACTTGAGGACAAAAATGTGGTTTCTGTTTGTTAGCTTATATATGCAAATCTGAAATGAATACACTAATATTAGCATAAGGTCTATTCTGCCTTTTCATCCTATATGATAGCAATGAATTTTTTATTGAAAACAATCATTAAAATCGAAAATTCTGAATTACAGATTGTGGCATACTTATTGATATCAGCAGCTTCATCCGCCGTGCCCTTGACTAATAGAATGAGAGAAGGGGCTGATAACATATTTACAGATTCATCTGCATCAGCAATCAGCATGGAATTCTTTGCCTTCATCTTACTTGCATTGTCAGCTATGATTTCGGGATATAAACTCTCTAACCAATCCTATATCTGATAAGCTCCTATTTGGATGAAATAATTTATTGTTTCGCCTGTATTCTACTTCAATACACTTAGACTTTACAATAGAATGCTTTTCTTTCCATTTCTCATTGTATAGTGGGTGAATTAAGATCCTTTAGTGGAGAATTTTTCATGATATTCTAAACTGTAAAGGTTCTTTTATAAATAAAATGATTGCTTTCTCTTTACGCTTCTCTCTTTCCTGTGTACGTGTTGTGTTTGGACATTGTTAAGCAACTAATGAAATTGAGAAAGATCTGGGAACTTCTCGTACATGTGATCAATTAGTTAATTAACGATTAAAATGGCATCCATATGGATGGGACAAAAGTTTTGGTTTATAATTCCTCTGAATATCACCTAGAAAGATAAGCATGATGTGCCAGGATACCTACTATCTATCACTAAGTCTTTTAATATATGAATATTAGCATTAGTAATTGAAGATGAACCTGTTAATTAATAATTATTATAGTGACCCCATGAAGGTAAAAAAGAAGATCCTGTTGGTGTAAACAAACAGTGAATGCTCAGTAATAAAGATGAAATATGATGCTCATGCATGACTAGTCTGTTTGTTTGAAATTTATTCAAATAATTGAGGGAAAAAAAAAGAAATATTTGGAAAGAATATTAAGTTCCCTTAGACTTTTTCTTCGTTCTGCGATTTTTTCATACAGCACTAGAACTTTACATGAGGCTATTGTTCTAAGCTTTACCAGCCCCCGGAACAAATGAAAAAATACACTGAGTCCTATTACTGAACTACACAACTGATTAATAATAAATTTCTTGTACTCTAAAATTTTTTTTTAAAGACATTCTCACTTTAGAAAAGAGTCGAAAGAAAGTTATCTCTCGGCTCTTCCTTGGCCATCATAGGGAGAGCAGTGTTTTCCAGCTGCATTTCATTAGAGTAGGATCCTTCCGAGTTTCTGAAACCCGAGAATGCAAAACTATCTGCATCCTGCAACTTCTGAAGGGTATGTGGTGCTTGATTCTTTGTTTGTAGTAGCCAGGTTGTCTGTAGTGAGTCGGGGGAATTTGTCCCGTCGTTAGAATGGCTGTTCATGGCTGAAGGCCTAATGACCATAGGTGCATTGTTGCTGTTCACAGATGGTCTGGTGTAACTGCTGCTACCACGGGCTGCAGGAACATCGTGGTTGTGTTTTCCTTCGTAAGTAGTGATCACTGCCTTGTTATTGTGGGATGCTCGCTCTACTTGCTTCCTAACGGGACATCCATCATATGTGCATTTGTAGTAGCTCCTGCAGCAATTCAACCACATCTTACATTAGGATTATGCTAGTGGCAGTTCAAATAGAATAGTAAGGTTACTGTCTTAATTTTGCTGTATCTAATAACGATTTAATGCTTACTTAGGATTTGGGTTTCCCCTAACCACTTTCTGTCCATATTTCCTCCATCTATAACCATCATTGAGAATATCGATATCACTTGTTGTTTGAACTACAACTCTAGGTTCACGAACGGTTCTACTTCCTTGATCTGGTATGCCATCATATTCAACGTCCCCCTTCCTGGAAAATAGGATAACAAATTTTTAAGATATTGATTTCATTTATCTTAAGGTTTTCTTGTAATTGTTTTCTCATTAAAATGATTAAGTGCAATGCTTACCATCTCTTGGCTTCTGGTTCAGTTTCATCCTGATATCTTGAGTTACTCAGGGCAGATCCTTGTTCAAAATCATCATTGCCAAAAGAAGCCGATGAATTTTCAGAGGTTGTCCGAGATTCCATCTGTGCATTGTCATGCAATTGAATCGAACTTGAAGATGATCTTCGAGTCGACTGAGGTTTGGGATGATTGTGATTTCCCTTGTATACTATTTCAGTAACATGTCCGTCTAAATTTTGCTCGATTATTTTTTTTGTAGGACAATTTGGAAACGAGCACTTGTAATAACTGCGAGGATTTTCACTTCCCTTAACTTGCTTTTGTCCATACTTCCTCCAGTTGTATCCATCATCTGGTTTTTTCTGCTCCCTAACATACTGAAGTTGTTTAGCATGATGCATTTGACCAATCTGCATATTAGGATTGCTCTGATTGTTTGCTCGAAATCTGGGAACCTCTTGAGAAAAGCTTTGAGTTGGAGCTGATTCTGATTTCACCCCAGCTTTTAATTCTTCCTGTTGAATTATAATTATCAGCAATAATACAGTAAGAACATGTGGATCATAAGATATAGCTAAAGAAGAACTGAAACATACAGATGAATTCCTTCCTTCAGAAAACATAGAAGACAGAGAGCTGGAAGGTCTCGTTTCAGATGGGAAAGAAAAATCGGAGTACTTTCTGCACTCCTTCTCGGAGGCCTGACCTGCAAAGGTCCTGGTAATAGGAGATGGAACAACCTACACAAACACATCGCCACAGAAACTTTTATTACTAATTTATCAGATCAATAAAAACTCGAAAAAAGTACCTACAAGGATTAAAGGATAACGTGAAGATGATAGATAAATAGACACGTCCGAAAAGCTTATAATACTATAAGTAGTGCTCACGTTTGATGACGAAAACAGTACAGGAGAGTCGAGCAGCACAGAAGGGCTGAAACTAGGAGAAATAGCAAGATATGGAGGGGATATTGGTAAAGAATTAGGTGGAAATGACGTATAATATGGAATTTCAATATCAGAAAGTCCCCAACTGAATGAAGATTTCTCCAAATTCGTGTCCCCTTTATTACCAAGAAGATCAGTGAAAGAATTCATTTATTCAGCAGAGAAAGATAAGCTGCCAGTTGCAAAGAGAATTTTGTAGAAGGAAGATTGAAAATAGATACTATATATATAACATATTGCTTGGGATTGGATCTAAATTTAATGCTTATATGTTATGTGCAAGAGTCCATTTCTGAGAAACTAATGAACGTTGACTTTTGACTGTGGAAAAATATTGTTGGTCCAAGGTTGTGTGTTTGACTGATTCTCGACGGCTGAATCAGACAAGGACGAGCTTTGATTCTCTGTGGTTGGGTACACCAGAAGCCTTAGATTGACAATTGTTGCGCACTTCTGATATTTTTCTGAGTATGACAAATTTGTCATGAAAGATATTTAAGTTTAATTCGAGTATTGATTTAAAATTGATAAGAAGTTCTAACGATCTCGTTTGACATGATTTTTGAAAAGTCAAAATGAGCTTTTAAGATCAAAAAATTGTCTTTTTGACCTGCTTGGCTATTTTTCTAGAGTGTTCTAAAAAGCGCGTTTAGGCGGCGCCTAGACGGGAAGCGTGATGAAAATGCTTCGCCTTGAGTCTAAGTNNAAAATGCTTCGCCTTGAGTCTAAGTGGGAATTAAGCGGTCAACGACAATATTAACCGCTTAATGCTTGTCTAGGTGTTTCTAGGCGCGCCTCCACCTCAGGCCCAGATTTTAAGGGGGCCCAATATTTTCCCTTTTTAAAAAAAATAAAATAAAACTCACAGCCTAGACTCGATAGCCCACTATCCATTCAAACTTCAAAAACACCAGACTCCAGAGAATTGAGAAGAAGGAAGAACGGCGCAAAACCTCTCAATTTCTCCACACACCGCACTGATTTGGGTATAAGGTATGTATAACATTAGGAGGTTATTATGCTTTACATTGTATTTGTAATTTTGGGGGCACGTGATTTTCAGTATTTTGTGGATTCTCAGTAAATTTTGCTTACAATTCTTCTTTTTCTTTGTGATTTTCCCTCAATTAATCAAATGTTTTGGAATTTGGATAATAAATATATTATACTGAAAATTTTACTATTTCATACAAGAGTCGAGACATTGTGCATTTGTGCTTCACAGTTCACTGCTTGCTTTGTGCCTTTGTTTTTGCTATTTGGTCTGTTTCCTTCGGTGACTGGTGCTGTAAACAGTAAATTCCAGTAGGCAATAGACTGTAAGGCGTGGTGACTGGTGACTGATGCTTCAAAGTGAATACTACCAGAACAGAGGATGCTTTAATGGGCTTATAGACTGCAATTGTATAACTCAGAAATTTTCCCGTGTTTCAAATTGCAATTAGTTACATTAATAACAATATAACATAGAAGGGTAAACTGAATTTTTCAGTGTTTATGTAACTAAAAGAAAGGGTCATCTTGATAGTCCACTTCATACAACCGCTTCTTTTTTGAATCCGTTCTATTTTTTGAAGAATCCATGTATCAAAGATGATCAATTGATTATAAATAATTTGATTGCT